GAAGGAAATGCTCTGGAGTTGGCGAGGCAACTGGAGTAAGGCAATGTAGGGGGCAGTAGTAGTATGTGTATAGGTTCAGCTAGTAACTATCGGGCAAGTCTACAAAGGAGAGGATTCGGAGTATTTTTGTGGGTGGTTATTTAAATGGGATATTCGTTAACGAACGGGAACGAGCTTATGGAAATTAAATTAGTCAGTTATTCAGAGCACAGAACGCATGTTATTATGACATGTTAATGGAAGGATGGGGAGTCATGAGAAACGGCAGATTAAGACAGTATTAAAAGGTAGACAAGAGATCGAAGGAGGAGAGAGGGACGGTGAGGTGTAAGGTAAACTAGTAAGGAGCGCAGAGGTAGTGCGGAAGCAAGGGCGAATTCACCTGAGCAGGCAGGTCGGGAAGAGACGGGGCTGGATCTTTATGGTAAAACGAAAAGACAAGAGGAAGTATGAGGGGAGCAGAGGGACTAGAGAGGAGAAGTGGAAGGAGAAAAAAGGGGACGGACCAAGGGAATGGGAAAAGACAGAAGAGAGGCGGAGAAAGTATGGGCAAACAAAATAAAAACGGATGGAGAAACGAAGAAGAGTTCAAAATGTAATAAAAAAAACTAGTATAATCGCTGGTGGGGACCATTCAGGTGGGAGTCAGAAGAGGAATAAGGAAAAAAGAGGAGGACAATGGTATAGTAGGTGTATAGGAAATAAAAATATTGACAAAAGAAGACAGACCTGGATTTTGAATTATCGCACAAAAGATGACGATGGCAACCGGCTGAGGAAGTAAAAGAAAGGATGAACATATTTTAATTAGAGTAGTGGGTGATATTTTCTGCTAAAGGTGTAGTGAGGTAAAGGGCAAGATGTAAAGGCAGCGTAGAAAAAATGGGATAATGAGGGATGAGAAGAGACAGTTAAATAAAAAGATTGTAAAAGAAGGAAGGAATATAAGGCACAAAGAAAAGGGATTCATAAGACGAGAAGAGAGAAGATAATGAAAAACGTATAAAGAGGAATATACAAAAAAAGAAAAGATGAGAAAAATGAGAAATGAACAATGATGAAGGAAAATAAGAAGAGAAAAAAGGAGAAAGAGGAAAGGTAGAAGAAAAAAAGACAAAAGAGAAGAAATAGAGAAAAACAGGAAAAATACCAAGCAAAAAGAAGAGGAATAAGTGATGTGAGAAAAAAGAGGAAAAAAAGAAAACAGAAAAGAAAAGAAAGAGTGAAAAGCAGGAAAAAAAACGACCGGCAAAGAAGGGAAATGGGGCGAAAAAAGAAGGAAGGGTGGGAAGGAGAGGAAAGAAGGTCTGGAGAGGATAGGGCAAGAGCAAGACGACGAAGAGAGAGAGGACAAGGAGCAGCAACAAAGAAAGCAAAGAGAAGAAAGAAGCAAGAAGTGAGTACCAGACGAAGAGAACAGCGAAGACAAAAAGAAGTGGGCAGTGTAACATGATAAGAAAGAACACAGAAAAAACGGTAGGGAATGAGAACTGAGAAAATGAAAAAAACAGAACCGAGAGAGAAAAGAAGAAGCTGGGGGGCTGTGCTCAGGGGGTCGAGCCGTGGTTGACCCTAAAGAAACTTGGCCGACCGCGGCAACCTGGGGTGGGCGGAGACACCGGCTGTCCGTTAGTTCAGTGCTGCCTGTCGCCAGGGGGGCCTACCCGCCCTTGCAGCAGGGCCGGTGGCGCGATGAGAGAGCTCGGAGTGCCGGGCGGTCCGTGACGTCAGCGAAGGGCCCGCTAGGCAAGTGTCTTGCTTCGGAGGCGGAAGTACGTCAAGATGAACCTGGGTGTAATTGACCCAGGGCGACCCGAACGAGTGCGGATGAACTCGAGAGAGATTGGTCTCCTGTTCGAAAGCGTCTGCGGCTCCTCTCGAGACAAAGGCGAGCGATGCGAAATTATTAGTGAAGCTGATGAGAGACAAAGGTGGAGAAGAAGAAGGTCGCACCTCGTCGCGCTAAAGCGGACATTGGTGTGTGGAGGTAGCAGCTGTTATGAAAGTGGCCGTTGTGGCACTAGCTAGGGGGGCAAAATAAGAGCGAATGAGAGTCATGCATATCTAACGAAAACATTCAAAGGCAATGACCAGGTATATGGGTAGGGAGAGAGTGCAGGTCCAGTGGGAGCCACCTCAGTCCTCGCCGCGATGCCTGGCGCCACTCGCCAGATGTAGTCTCAATCATCTCACCAATGGTAAACCTTGTGTAACAAGACCAGAAAATGGAGTCTATTTCGGAGTGGGGGGGGCGCGACTCGCCTCTCTCCGCGACGCGGACCGCCCGCCACTCCCCAGAGAAGATCTTTGTCTCTCCTAATGTTAACTTTAACAAAGTGTCTTCGGAGGACGCACTCGCCCTCTCCCGCCACGACGCTCCGTCACCTCCAGAGAAGTCTGCCTCGCTCGGTAATTGACTCTAACAAGTGTACTTCGAGGACGGCAAGCGTCGCCTCTAACGTCGACGACGTGATAAGAGCCGGCGGAGGGTGGCTGGAGGGGAGGAGGGAGCCTTACACCAAGGATCACGGGATGACGTAGAAGCGTGGCGTATGAGGGCAGGTCCGAGACAGCAGGAGAGAAGGTTCTCCTCTGCTCCTAAAACTGTAGGCTGTTAAGAAAGTGTCTTCGGAGGGACGCACTCGCCTCTCCCGCAGCATGCAAGAAGGAGCAGGACAGAGAACCGGGCAATAGTTAATATGAAAGGGCACCCACCCAGAAGAAGGTCTCTCGTCTTCCTAAGTAACTTTGGAGTTTCTGCTCCAACGCACGAGAGGTTAATCCTTATACTCTCACCTTTCTCCTCGAGGTGTGTTCGATGAGGCTCCGCTTCTAAAAGATCGGTCGCGCGTGTGGGCTTAAAGGTGAATGGCGTTGTACACTAAATTTGGCCAAGTAGGGGCTCCGGCGGAAGTTAACTGATGAATTTTCCGTTCACTGTTTCGAAAGTGGGGTTCATGTCGTCTGAGGGGTGCTTCCGCAGCTACTGGACGAGTAGAGGGCTTCGGGATTACCCCGATCTACGATGACAAGGCGTTTCGGAAGTATTCCCAGCTGTGGGCTCGCGCCGCTGCGACTTTTTAAGTTTATACCCCATTGTTCGGTTGTATGGTGGCGTGCCAATAACCTATCGAATGGGTCAGAGGGACCGTGGCCGTTGCAAGGGGGGCTGCGCGCGATAACGCCGTATGTTTTTCTTCAGTAAAAAAATTCCTTAGGTCTTGTTTACTCAATTAGAATGTTATCTGGAATAATCGGTACCCGCTACATATGTCTCTACATTGTTGTAAACTAATGTATCATGCAATACATTATATTGGCGGTTTCGAAATAATAGAAAGTATCGGCTAAGACTGGAATCACCGAAATAATATGATCGACTAAGGCTGTATGATTATGATCTTAATGACTTAAGGGGAAATTGAAGATTAGTGACACATCGATAACTTAGTGACAGAACGTAAATAATTATGATTATCTGCTTACGGCTACATACGCTGTGAAAGAGTATGGGGCCAGATACATTATCCGCAGAAACTGAGCCAAATGAAGGTATTTGAAAAGCAAATTGAGATTTAATGTTGGGGTATTTGTCAAGAAGATGGTTAGGAAATATGGTTCCTATCCTGAAACGGCATGACGTACAATGGCTCTGGTGGGGTGGGTGTCCCATAGTAAGTCATTTCACTTTACCATTTGCGCTAATAACATCATATAATAGCTTCGTATTTTATATTTCAGTGCTTACAGTATTACAAACCGAGTGTCAGTAGACAATTAACAAACATTGGTAGTATATGTAGTCAAAGGTGGCGGTATCGGGGTAACTGGAAAGCAGCTGATTCAAACGTGCGCGGATTAGTTAAATGAATGTAGCGGTCCAAATATATCACAGAGCAGGTTCACTGTTACCAGTGTCAGATAGCAACTACAAATTCCTGCAAATTAATTTTATGGGCAATTCACCACAAGAAATTAATCTGCGTTATGCACATAACAATTTAGTAAAGAGGTCTTTTGTAGAACAATTACAAACTTTATTTCATGAACACAATCAATTGAGTATATTGTTTAAAGCTGCCCTGGATCTGATGCCATCAGATAATCACAAAATTGTAACCAGAGCTTATAAAACACCTGCGGTTCAACATGCAAGACGTTTTAATGCACCAACTATTGATGAAGTTGCTACCGTTGTAGTTGGAGAAAACTTGGAATCCCGTGATATTGTTTTACATCGTCGGAATGATCAATTACAACGCATAAAGGAAACACACCGCTCATATGATACACTGCAATATCCCATTATATTTTGGCACGGTGCAGATGGCTATGGTTTCTCAATAAAAATGATAAATCCCTTAGTCATTAGTCGCATTTTAGTAGACGTCATTAAAGCATTTTAACTCACATATACAATAGTGTTTACAAATTGTTGGAAATGTGCCTATTAAATGACGTGAGATATATTTCAAAAAAAATTATGTAAAAAAACGAAATGAATTTACGTCATATATAAGATTTAATTAGTACCATCCGTTCGAAAAGTTTGAAGAAAAAATTTGAAGCTAAATTTGAGAAAATAGCGTTTCAGCGTTTCTCAAAATGCGGTGGAACACAAATCGGTTGACTTTTCGAGAAACTTTACCTGAGAATATTTAGAGCACATGTACTCATAAACATAATGTGAGCAAATTGCTGCTAATATAAATATTAACGACGCTACAGGCTAGGCAAAAAATTATGTTTTTGTAGTATTCGAAAAAAAAAAGAATAAATTAATATCAGGTTTTTGTCATCTTATAGAGTGCATTTAGCACAATCCCTCCCAAAATATTAAAGAAAATAATTTTAATCCGTTTTTGTGAAAACTTCGCTTTTGTAATTTATTAAAATTGAAAATATTTCACGAAAACTACTAAAAGTTTCAAAAAACTGTGCACGATTTTAATGATAGAACTCACTAAGGACAACAAATTTGATATGAAGAAAAAGCCTTTATCTTTAATTTTGCCTTTGTATGAAGACGCGGATAAAATTCAAACTTTTGAATTTTCGAAAATTTAAGATCGTGAAAATGGGAAGTATGCCACTTTTCTAAGTGTATTTTACTATATTCTTACAAGAAATATAAAGAAAAAAATTTTGAGCCGTTTTTGAGAAAATGTTTGATAATGTCCGGGGGGCTACATGTAAAGTGCCCCCAAACTTATAAGAAATTTTTCAAAATCGCGGCGCCTGGAGTGGCGCCAGATCGACCGGAAAATATCAATTTTGGAAAAAATCGTATGAATTATTTAGGCGTTAGTGATGTTCATAGACTGACAAACGAACGGACATTTTGAAAAAAGAACACTTTTTCGCTATCAGGGCACCCCATAACGTGTATTTCCGTTGAAATCTCGAAATCGATTTTCCGCTGCCTAACATAGCTTTCCCTATACTATGTAAATTACTCCGTATATGCGTACGTATACGGGAAAGTAAAAAGTTGATACCTCAGGAAACTTCACAAGAATTAATTTGAGGTTATTTTTGCATACATATCAAAAAAGGAATTTAACCACGTTTCCTTTATCAGGGGCCAGCAATAAGAGGTTTTCTTCCGAAAATTCGCCGCTTTTCCCGCAGAATTCGATAACTCTCTTCTTGAGAAGTACCTTCTTAAGGGAGAGAAAGTAAAAATATCTTTCTTTAATATTGTAATTGTAGGAAGACGCAGAAAAACATTGGACTTTACAGTAATCTAAAAATTGGATATTTCAACGGATATTGAGATGCTATGCTTTTAGGCGTCTATTACGCTATCCGAAGACAAATTTAAATAGAAGAATTAGAAATCTAAAACCAAGATATCCGTTTCAATCTCAAAACTCTGGCAAAAAATGTTCGTAAATATTATCACATTCCAATCGATTATAACAACTTAAAATTACCAATAAACTTCCTAATAAATATTACAAGAACAAGTCGTTGCAAATACAAAACACTGTTGAAGGATTGTCTTCAAAAGTCCAATGCTGTCAAGTACAACACATGCACAAGGAAAACATTTATGAAATGGAATCCTACTAAATGCAATTCTTTAATATATATATATATATATATATATATATATACATATATATATAATTATATAGATGTATAGATATACACACACACACAAAAATGAATACTGAGACTGTGTCGACTTTCTTTTCTATGTAATACTACCTAGTGGTGATTCTAATAATCTTGCTCTTTATAACTAATAGAGAGAAAAGTAAAAATACGTAAGCTAGATTTTTGGGGAAAACGACGAATTTTTTTTTTCAATTTTTTATTCAACTAGAGTAACCGCTAAATAATATGCCACATGTTGAAATTCTGTTCTAATTTTTGAAAATTAGAAAAGTAACTTTCCTTTTCGAACCTGTCATTCACCTTTAATATTGCAGCCAGAAGTTTATCTCTTAATTCAATATACTTCTTAATATTAGTTCTTTAAACAGTTGATATAAATATTTTTTGTGGAAAAAATGATAGTAGCTTTTTCACCAATGGTAATTATTTGATGAAAAAATTTATTTTTTATTGGAACGAGAACTTTTTTGCATCACATTTTGATATTGTGAAGATCTTAAAAGTCGATGAAACCAAATACTTTGCATTTGTTAACGTGTTCTGGAATATACTTAATCAAAAATTACAATTTAAGTCTTGCCCTCATTATTAAAATGTTTCTTAACGGTTTTGTTGTCTTTACCTTCACCTGTTCCGCTTGCAGCTTTTGACAAGGGTTGTTAAGAGTCTTCCGAAACTTTACACTTGTGTAAACGTCACAGAAATGAACGACGTCCATGACACACTACGACTCTTCCTTACCATGTCACAATCAATTGCCAAGGGGCCACATTCAAGTAATACCTGAAATGAAGCGTTTCGAAAGCTATACTTTCGGGGAGCGACTACGAAATTAATTGAAAAAGTCGTGGCGAACTAGTGATAATCCTCATTTTGCGAGAAACCAAAAAAATGGATATTTGTTTTCTATTTAAATTAATATTTCATTCATATTGTGCTTATTGGGCTACATAAATTAGGGTGAACACAGGAAATCTGTGAAATTCCTTTTATAAGAATCTCTCCAAAAGTGGCCAATTGATGTCCGTCTGTTCCAATGTCAGACCGACTTTGTATCAGGCCTTC